TTAGATTAGATTAGATTAGATTAGATGAGCTTTATTGATCTCACAGCGGAGAAATTCACTGGTCACATATTGGCATAGAAGTCAAAGAGGGTGCAAACAAGGAGCAAAAGGTGCATTAGGAATAAACAATAAACAATATATATATACAGTATATCCAGGTATATACAGTATATCAAGATAAATAAGGATTAAGGCTAAATGCGCTTAGTTTAAGAAATTGTTACTTATTTCAAGATTGTTTTTCCAGTGTGAACTTTTAAGGGTTGACTTTGACCTGCATGACTTAGAATCTTCACAGATATATCAGAATTTTAGCAGTTTTTAATGACTGGTTGACTGGTTCACACCCTTGCATGGGCTCTGCTGAAATGTGCCAGACTTTTGTTTCTTTTGGGCAGCAGTTGATGTGTTTATTCTCCCTTTAAAATGTTTACTTCCTTCTATTTGTGATCTCTGTCATACATACAGCAGTTCTTCTACACGTGGTCATGATTTCAAACTATTTCAGCTCACAGCATGTATTTCTTTTTTTTTGTTTCCCTCAGGGGAACAGGGTTTATTTTTCCGTAAGTCTGTTTTTTTCCTCCCTTTTTCCCTCCCTCTCTCTGACTCTCCTGTCCATGCCCAGAAATACCTTCCTTGGAGGAGGTCAGCAACTTACGCCTGTGCGTTCAGCAAGTCTTGGAAAACGTGGAATCTTCTCTAAAAGAGGGCAGAGGAACATCAGAACGTAAGTAAATCTCATAACGAAAGATGTATGATCTTTTACTCCAAATGTTCTCTCAACTGAAACACAGGAATTGGAATTAAGTTGCCTGCCCCTGCTCTGATAGTCTCTTTTTTCTGTGTCTACCAGAACACTTTTATGTCAAAGCGAAACTTAATGAAATGATTTATTCAATTTAAGACATTTAAGCTCTCATCTTCTCCAAAACCGTTGAAATTCTATGATTAATTATTCTGCAGAATAATATGTGAGAAAATCCTAAGTGCTTTGTATTAATAATTCAACATGAACTGAAGATTTGAAAAAGGAAAAAAAAAACACTGTTTTTTTTCAGGTTCGCCGCTCCTGGAGAAGATGATGATGGAGGTTAAATTGATCCCTTGCTGCGTCTCATTTATCCTGATAGCTGTGACCATAAAGGCTCAAGTCAATCCAGGTAGAAACTCGGTGATACGGTTCATCTGTCAGATATAGTAGTGAGGAGACTCTGAACCAATTGGTTTTCTAAGATTAAACCAAGTTTTATTTTCACATAAGGATTTAACAAAAACAAACCTAACTTTCAAACGTGTAATAATGAAAATAAAATGGAGACATTTTCTTTGTAGGCCTGAGGTGTTAGCATATTTTAAGACATTTTGGGTGGGTGGCCTAAGAAGGAATGATGTCTGAATGTGTGTGTGTGTTTGTGCATGTGGTTTACCCAATGGTCAGGAGGTAAACATCCTCATTACAAGCAGACCTTTCACAGGTAGGGGTGTGTGGGTGTTGTAGAAAGTTTGTTGGCATGCCTCTGGATAAGATACACTTTGGCATATATTCTCCACACGTGACCAATTAGAAATATCCTCACATTTAAAGATTTTTTTTTTCGTTTGCAGTCATTTACCATGAATCTAACAAAAAAAAGAAAAAAAACAGTGACTGGGAATAGAAAAAAAAGACAGATGTTATCCTACCTGCTGTATTTGGGATTTAACGTTTCTTTTATTATGTCCAATCCTTTTTGTCTAATTGACCTTTTAAAAGGGGAAAAATTTCTCTTATCCTCCATTTTGGCAGAACTCATGAAAACGGAGGAAAATGAAGAGCAGGCAGTTCAGTGGACACTCCCTTTTCATTTTGCTTAGACTGGCACCCACACAGTGATGCCTCTGTTTGGCTTTAGAGGCCATGTAGGGCTGCAGGAAAAG